TGATAGATCAAGCAAAAAAAAGTGATGGTCTTGATTATTACAAGGCCTTGCATTTTCAAACGGTGTTTCACTAAACAAAAACTAATCTTTTGTACTAGTAGCCGAAACAACCACTTGCAAGATCCTAAGGATTTGGCTCTCTTCTCAACTCGAATGGAGAATTCTAGACACCGTATACTCAAAGAAAGGTCTTTTTGCGAAACTCTAACTCACTCGAACTTTAGAGATTTGGTGCTGAGACTTTCAATCAGTTGTCTATGCATGTGCTTGCTGTTCATTGGAGGAAGACCTCATCAGCTTTGAAGCTGAGTGAATCAAGAGTGGAGTTGCCTGTGCATGTGCTCACTGTTCATTGGAGGAAGACCTCAACAGCTTTGAAGTTGAGTGAATCAAGTGTGGTTTTTTTTTCCGTCTAATAGGCATTTTATTAATAACTATGATTACAATCAATGTTTACAAAGGAATGAAGAAATAATGGACAAGAATGATATAAACACCATGAATTTGGTGAGCGTGCACCCGTTTTGGCTAAAACGTCTGCACATTGGTTGGCTTTCCTATTGTTATGAGTGAATTTGGTGTTGGAGAACATAGACGCCCACCCTTTAATAGTATTAAGATAGTGGTGTAACTTGAGGTTACTCCCTTCATTATTGAGTAGACGAGTCATATTTAGGTTGTCTCCTTCAAACACGACGCAGGTGAAACCAAAACTCCAAGTGTGGTTTTGGAGGTGCTTGAGGTTATAGAAGGAAAGAGATTGAGGTTTATAACTGAGTTATTTTGGTAGGCTTTGGATTGGTTCTGTTCATTTTTTGGTGCTTATGATTTAATTGTCTTTGCGTTGTTATAATGTTGAATGTCACAACTACTGTATCCATTCAGAAAAATAAGAATGTTATAACTACTGTATGTATCTATGTGCATGTTTAGGCCTTCTTTGTTTTTTTATTCAAATATTGTAACTCGATGCAAATGCTCAAATATTATTTATTTGACCACTATTAAATCAGTAATTAAATATTATATCTCAATGTAAAATTTAAAATATCTTAAGAATCTGGATATTTAATATGCTAAAAAGTAAAGTTTTGATACAGCATTTGCATCTAAAATCCAAAAGATCAAAATGCCATTTAATATAATAAAAAGCTTACAAAACTTATACTTATTACTCTAATTGTTAAAATCATAATATTCCATGAAATCATAAAATTGGGATTTTCCGCCAAACCCGTAAAACTGGTATTTCCCATCAAAACCGTAAGACTAAGTTTTTCCGCCAAAATCGTAAAACTAATTTTTTTTTCCAAAACCGTAAAATCGAATTTTCCTCTCAAAACTGCAAAATCGAGTTTTACTGGCAAATCCATCAAAACCGTAAAACCAAAATTTTCCGCAAAAACCGTAAAACGCGGTAATTCGTCAAAACCATAAAACTGGATTTTCTGCTAAAATCGTAAAATTGAGTTTTTCCACAAAAAAATGTATAATTGGATTTTTCTTGCCAAAATCGTGAAACCGATTTTTATGTCAAAACCGTAAAATCAAGTTTTCCTGTGAAAACTGTAAAACCGGATTTTCCCGTCAAAACCGTAAAATTCAGTTTTTCAGTCAAATTTATAAAACTGGTTTCCATCAAAATCATATAATCGAATTTTTCTGTCAAAACTGTAAAACTGAATTTTCCCATCATAACGGTAAAATCGAGTTTTTCGCCAAAACTATTAAATAAGATTTTCCTGTAAAATCGTAAAACCGAATTTTTCTGCCAAAACGTAAAATTAGATTTTCCGCCAAAGCCATAGGACCTTGAAACCAGATTTTTCTGGCAAAACCGTCAAATCGAGTTTTCTATCAAAACTGCAAAATTGAGTTATCCTGCCAAATCCGTGAAAACTGTAACTACGTTTTCTCGCCAAAACTACAAACCGTCAAAACTATAAAACAGGATTTTTCCGTTAAAACCATAAAATCAAGTTTTACCATCAAAATTGTATAATTGGATTTTCTCACCAATATTGTAAAACTGATTTTTTCCACCAAAACTGAAAACCCGAATTTTTCTGTCAAAATCGTAAAACTATATTTTCCTTCAAAACCGTAAAATCAAAATTTCCAGTCAAAACAGTAAAGTCGAGTTTTCCAGCCAAAACTGTTAAATCGGATTTTCCAGTTAACCATAAAACTAATTTTTTATGCCAAACCCGTAAAAATGGATTTTTCCGTCAAAGCCATAAAACAAGATTTTCCTGCCAAAACTGTAAAACTGAATTTTCCCGCCAAAACCATAAAACTGAGTTTTCGTACCAAAACTGTAAAACTGAATTTTCCCGCCAAGACCGTAAAACTGAGTTTTCGTACTAAAACCATAAAATTTGGTTTTCCAGTCGAAACTGAAAAATCAAGTTCTTCCGTCAAAACCGTAAAACCTGAGTTTTTCACCAAATTAGCAGAATCAAGTTTTCCCACCAAAATCCTATTTTCTGTCAAAATTATAAAATTTTAAAACCACATTTTTTACCAAAATCGTAAAACCGGATGTTCCACCAAATAAAAAAACCTAGTTTCAAAAATAAACAACATTTAAATGATGTATCTGAAAGTTGCATCTAGATGTTGAATCTAAATGCAGCATCTAGATCAAGAAACAAACAGAGCATTAGTAATCAAAATTAGTGTTGTTAGTGTTTACTCTATTAAATACATTTATTACTAGATAATAATCCGCAGCTTATGTGGGATAAAATAATTCTTATATATAAAAATTGAATTAGTTTTATATTATATAATATGATATAATTAATTTTATATGAGTTTCATTTAACAATATGAAATAACATACTTAATTGTCATATAAATTAATTTAAAAATTAAATACTATATACATGTTTAAAATTTAGTTAGGTAAAAATATAAAGTCACTATATAGATCTTCTATATCTCGTGATTAAGGATATGATTCAATGTTTTCACCAATGTCCAAAGCTTTGCATATACTATATTTGTTAATTTGCTATAAATTCAGAATCTTAATATAAAAATTAGATAACTAAGATTAAAATCAGAAATATATGAATATGTCTCTGGTAAAAATAATTAGAAACAAAAAATATATAGAACACAACAAAATTAGGAAAGCAACAACTATTATCATAAATTAATGTAAATAATTCTCCTTGTTACAAAAAACAGTTTCTAACTATAAAATATTTAATCAAAAAATATTTTCCAAAATATAAAAATCATTTTAATAAATAAATTTGCATATAAAAGCATAGATTGCCCTTTGAGACCGTTTATCAATGGGCGTTGATCGAAAGTTTGTCTACTTATAAAACACAATATGTAAATATAAATTACCAAAAAACTAAGTTTTTAAGAAACACTATGTAAATATATGGTTTTATTAATTTTATAAATTAATAATTACCATAAATTAATAATATATAAATAAATAACTATGATAATTTAATAAAATGTTATTATATAATTGTTTGTTTTTATTAATATTAAAATAATGTTATAGTTTATCTACAATATGAAAGTGAAATGTTTAAAGATATCATTAACTTTTTTAACAAATATTATTTTATTTAATTATTAACAAATAATATATTTAATTCAAAAACAGATAAAAATATTAAAGTCCTAATATTATTAATTTATAAATTTTATATTGTAATTATATTGAATTATTTAAAGCAGGCAAACTAAAACTTTTTCGGTAATTTATTTAAAAGATTAACAAATTGAAACCTTTTCTAACCACTAAGTAAATCAAAAGAAACACAAACAAATCTTGCAGAAAATTTGGTATATAATAAATCAAAATTGATTCAAAAAAAAAATTAAGCAATTAATATTAGTATTATCATGTTATTGTATTTAACCAAGAAAAAGTAAGAAGTAATGTTATATGCCATATTTGTCACCTAAGAATCATATATAGAGTAAGTAATAATATCATATGACATATTTCCTTATATAGTAAATCAGAATAGTAATAAATATATATATCATAATAATTTTGAAAATTCGTCATTATAACTTTTTTTGATTGGTTTTTGACGAAAACAACATATATTTTTAATAATATATTTTTTAATATTGTTATGAATTGTTAAAAGATATATATTAAATATATTTATCTTGAAGTATTATATATGTTTTTATAATTATTTTTGTGCATGCTATGATTACATCAAAATATGAATAAAATTAATATGACTTTCTTTTATATGTCCTGATTGATTTTTGATAAAAATAAATTATTATTTTAAATTATTATGTTGTCTATATAAGAATTAGTGAACAACTAATAAAAATATTTTCTGAAAAAAGTAATAAACATTAGTAAAGTATTATATATTTTATTATGAATTTAAGGAAAATAAAATATGATTTTTAATTTTTCTGTTGTACCTTTAAGAATATTTTTTAATGAATAATTAATAAACATATTTTTTTGAAAAAGTAGTAAACATTAAAAAATATTATATTTTTGTTATGAATGATAAAAGTAGAAAAGATTAAAAAGTATTATATATTTTATTATAAATTTATAAGTATTATATAATAAATTATTTTGTGTATATTGTAATTAGCATTGACAAATTTATTATATTAAATTATTATTTATAACATTATTTCCTTTTAATTCATTAAAAAATAAATATAACATATGTGGGGACTTAAAATATACAATGATATATCATGTAACTAGTCTAGTAATTTAAGTCTTTTTAAAAAAATTAGCTGAGAATCAATGTGGAATTGACATATCAGCATAATAGCACTACTGTAAATACTTACAAAAATGAGTTTACTCTATAAAAATACTTCTCAATTAATATATAGGATTAGATGAGAAATGAGAAGGGACAGACAAAAGAAAAGAGTAAATTCCCCATTAATTAAGATATACAACACATTATATCTAGATTATACAATCGCATAAGTATAACAAGCTCTCTTATCAGTATCAAACATTATACCTAGATTATATAAGCCAAGAAGTAAAAGAGGAAAATAAAATGTAGAATCACTAACTCCACTCTAAAACTAACACCTCTCGCGTACTCTGGCCCGCCAAAGAAGAAACAAGTATCGTTCACCTTTTTGACATTGTAATATTTGGGGTTAGTTGCTCTTAACCTGAGGTCGTAGACTGGCTGGAAATCACCTATGATTCCTGCGATTTCAAGATCGCACATGTAGGCGGCTGTACAAAAGCCGCTGTCTGGAAAATATCCAGATCCCATCTGGGTTGTGGTGTGCTGGCGGGAGATGTTCCCATTTGTAATTTCACCGCACCACTGCACCTCCTCTGCGTACTCGATTAGTTGGGTGAATATCTTTGTCAGCCAATACCCAACTGACTCAACAACTGTGCTGTTGCTAAACCAGACACCCAACCGCCAAAGTCTGAGCTTCGAGTCCTACATTTGTGTTTAATTATTTATATTAGAAAACATATAATTATAGAATAAAAATTAAAATAATTTTTTTTATTAACCTTCCATATTTGGATAGTTAATTCAGTCTGAGCGCCTGGGAATATTGACATTGGGGAAATAGCACCCCCAATAAAAACTTTTTGGCTGGTCTTAATAAATCCTGGACAGTGGTGGAGATTGTAACACTTATGGATCTTGTATGCATCTCTCTGCAAAAAAAGCAAGTAATTAATATATATTAATATATATATGAATAAAAGAAATTAAACTTAATCATACCGTCCAGAAATTAAAAACCCTTGGCTGGTCGTCCAGATATATATGGGGACAAACCTACATAGCAAAATAGTCAAAGAATTATAATAGATCTTTTGTAATTACTAACCGTTAAAAAAATTTGATTATAACTTACTTGTCAGCCTGTCTCAATGCTGTTGAGATCACCTGCGTCATAAGATCCTGAGACGAGCCAAATCTGGCCTAGACTGAATTCGCCAGCATCTTTTTGTGCCTTCAATTGCCACACTCTCATTCTCGCCTTTGTTCCGTATATCTTTGGTGGTCGAGTCTCCATATGTCGCAATCGCATACTAAACCAAAAACAATAAACCAGAGTTATTTTTACTTTTGTTATTAACATAATCGATATTTTATTATAAGTTTGTCACTAAAATAATGAAATGGTAATATCAAAATTTAGTTTTACCTCTTGTTCTCAGTTAAATTTGTTCGCAGCCGCTAAACTAGTAGTTTCGTTGATCTGAATCACCCTTTGTATCGAAACTGTTCTCGTCGACACTTCATTCCGCTGCAATGCCAGATTTGCCAGTTTACTTCGTCTTCATTTTTTGCCATGACTGGAAATTCTACGGGTGTTTCCTGTATTTCATAAATAAATAAATATTATTAGCTTTCCATTTTCATTGTAGGATAAGAGAAAATAGATTATTGCATTAAATTAGTTGAAACGACGTTTTGCCTTAATCCTAAAGTAAAAAAAAGTTGAAAATGATTAAAATAGAAAAACTAATCGGATATCCTTTTATTTCACGGGCAGACCCATTAACTAAACGAGTTTAAATGGGTGAAGCTCAATACAAAGCCGTTTATCTTAACACACAACTAAAAGAGCCGCGAAAATAATGTATTTTAGTTTTTTTGCATTTGTTTTGCTTATTTTTCTTCTTATTTTCTTTTTCTTTTATGCTTTTGTTTTTCTTATTTCTTTCTTTTTTATTTATTTTCTACTCATTTTTTGCTTATTTTTATAAAGATGTGAATGATTAAATATTAATAATAATAAAAGTTAATATATATAATAATGGTTGTGATATTATTATTAGAGTTAAAACAGAAGAATGTTCTGAAAATACCTTTTGATTTATATGTATCATTCTTTCAAGAAAGTGAAAACATTAGATACTCAACAAAAACAAAATGAAAGTTGAGTTAATTTACTTTGTGGTACGCATATTTCATTGCTTAACTTAGGATTAGAAAATTAAAATTGACACGCAAGTCACAAATTATATTATTAAGATTTGAGAGAGGTATAGATGTTGGACGTTAATTAATGATGTTGGTGAATCGCCACAATTTCCATTTTCTCTCTATCTCTTTGTATTAAGTAATAATATTTGTTTTTATCTTCACATAACAATGCAAAAACACTAACATCTGCCGGTATTTAATCATATGTGAAGTATATGTGATAAGAAATTAAAAATATATAACATTTATTTTGAATTTTCTGTGGACTAACAAAACTTACAATGTTAATGAAATTAAACTCGGTCCAACAAAATAAAAACTTTTTTCTCAGTCACATCTTTAGTTTGAACCAAATAATTTTTCTTGAAAAAAAAAAGTCTGCACATTCGACTAATCAGCCCTAGATAGTAACAATCCCTAATTAACTCTTGACAGTGAAATTTTCAACTTTTTCTATAGAATAAAATATAAAGAAAACCAAACCAATCTGAACAAGAACGAAAAATAAAACTTAGATACTAAAATTATATTCATACCAAGCCAACAACTTCTTTTACTTGATATTGTTTTAAAAAGAAATATTCCAATAATTTATTAAATCGTTTTTTTAAAACAGCGTTGTCTATATGACTAAACGTTTAAAATAAAATTTACAAGAAAAAAACCTTAAAATTTAAAATAAAATTCACAAGAAAAAAACCTTAAAATTAATAATTAATGGTTAAACACTACAATAATTTATTAAATCGTTTTTTTTTCAAAACAAAAAGAAAAAGTTATTAAAAGAACAATCATAAATGAAAATAAGAATCAGCCATCAAAAATGAAACTAAAAAATTAAGTTTTAAAACAAAAAGAAAAAGTTATTTACAAGAAAAAAACATTTAACACAAACATTTAAAATAAAATTCACAAGAAAAAAACCTTAAATTAATAATTAATGGTTAAACACTACAATAATTTATTAAATCGTTTTTTTTCAAAACAAAAAGAAAAAGTTATTAAAAGAACATTCATAAATGAAAATAAGAACCAGCCATCAAAAATGAAACTAAAAAATTAAGTTTTTAAAATGGATTAGGTAATTTTAATGAAAATAAAATAATTTGTTAAAAAGGTAATCCATTTAGAAGAGGGATCAGATGGTAAGAGAAGGAGAGCGCTCAATTGTCGTAATAGGCTGAGCGAAACGCTCTTCTCGCATGTTAATTTGCGAGTAATTTAACCACTCCTCATTTCCCCTTTAACTTGCCTGAAGGATCATGTTTTTACTCTAACCCAACTCTAATCATTTTATAGCCAGCTAATAATTTCCCAACTTCACTACTTTACCGATGTGAGATATTTCTCTCTTCTTCACTAAAACAACCCAAATTTGCTCTTGACGGTGAAGTTTTAAAGTTTTTTCCGAGCATGACGACTACTACAACGACGATGATATCTCAGCATGATTTCTACATTGATAGAGATTCGGAAAATTCTATTTATGTATCTGTTATTGAGGTATTAAGCTCTCACTGGCGATTTGTAATCGAGCTTTCTTCTTCTTTCGTGGTTGATTTGTTATTCGAATTTGTGAACCACTGTGTGATTGTGTTTGAGCTAAAGAATCCCATGTCTTGCGTGCATACTTAAATGACTTTAGATACCTTTTCTTAGAGATGTGTTGATGGAATTTGCAGCTAGGAGCTGGCACTTCCTTGCCCGGTTTTAGTAGCTGCAAAAGTTGGGGCTGAAGTAACCCTTACCGATGATTCAAGTAAAGCAGAGGTATGAGAATGTGTTGATAAGCTTTTGTTTTCATTTGGTTCAGATATTATGTGTTCATTTGTTAATTCGATTTTACATGTTGATGTAGCATCATGACCGTTGTTCTCAAATGCCGTTACTTGCTGAACAAGTGATCTTCTTAATGGGATTTTCGTTTATTTTATTTAATTTAGGATATGTGTTTTGAAGATATGACTAAATCTTTAGGGATAGGTTTTCACGATACGACTTAATAGTATCGTCTTCTATTTATATTTATATGGTTTTCTCTTTGTATTGCCAACACGTTGAATTTTGATTTGGATTTTAATAAAGAGCTTATTCAAGCACTGAGAAAAATATTCTCAAATTCATTGTTCTTCGTCTCCTCAGACTTCGAACAAGACCTGAGAGAAAGCTTGAATTCTCATCGAGAGTTTGATCATTTTCTCGTTATAGCTTCCACCCCCTATCACATGTGCAGGTTTTGGAGAATATGAGAAGAGTGAGCTGAGCTGCAAAGTAAAGATGAGTGGGAAGTTGTTGTGCGTAGGGTAGAAACGAGTCTTGATCGAGATATAGAGAGAGTACTTAGAGTCGGCTACGACAGTTTACATGCGAAATATCAGCTTTTATTTCTCTACATTGCGATCTTTTTCAACTACAGAGACGACGATCATGTGAAAACCATGCTTTCCGACAGCAATTTGGATGAAAGACATGGGTCGACAAATTTGTCATATATATCATCCAAAGGTCATATCGTGATGCACAAGTTACTATAACAAGTGGGTAAAGAAGCAATTCATAGACAAGACAAGAGCCTTGGAAACGCCAAATCTTAATAGATGTTCGCGAGATTTGCGATATACTTGAATATGATAAAAGACATTTCAGTAATTTGGATGAAAGACATGGCCTTTCACCATTGAACCACATAGTCGATCGATAAAGTTCTCATATATATATCATCCAAAGGTGAAATCGTGATATTTTTGAAAAGTAGTATTAGAAAAATGTTTATTTTGAAATCTCCACTACTAGCATATGCAATATCCAAATATATATCAATGAGTTTTTTTGTTTACCCGCAAATGTGAAAGTCAATTAATATCAAAATATAGCTACTATTATAAAACATCTAAAAAGGAATAGAAGAAAGAAATGTCTATTTATTATTACAAAATTTTCCAACACTGAATTATGCAATTAAATCTTGCATTTAAGCGGAGATATTTATTGATTGATAATAATAATAGCATATTCAATAAATTATTTTGACAAAATTTACAAACGTTAGATTTGTTTTTACAATTTTGACTTTGATTTGAGACTGTATACCCATGCATATTAAATGATAAAATGTAAATATGCATATACACCAATGACTTTTGTTTTGCCTAAAACAACTTTTCACCCGCAAATATGAAAGGCAATTAATAGTAAAATTTTCCTCCCAAAAGTTATATAAATAGAACTTCTCTCTAAATTTCAGAAAAACTAAGAAAATCTTAATTTCTCAATACTTTAACAAAACAAAAATATCTATTTCTCAGATTCATACAAAGAAAATTATGGGTATCACAAAAACTCCAGTGACTTGTTTACTTATAGTAATACTAGATGAGTATCTGTACGATGCGCGGATTTTTTTAACGATATAATTTGTTAAAAGTGTAGTTACAATATATTATCGTATATTTAAATTTATTTTAAGGATGTTGTGTATTTGAATAAACATACAATAAATATTTACATATTATGTGGATATTAACTATATATATTTTAAATGGTTTATTGATAAAGAACCGTGAAATATGTTATGCGTGGTATATATATATAGAATATATTAAATGGATATACTGCAAATCAAAGAAGTACTATATAACAAAAATTAATTAGAGAAACTCTTCAAACACAACATAGATAAAGACGATCATTTTTAACAGATCGCAATTTGTTCACAGTGTAGATTTACACAATAACAACACCGCCATTTTATATTTTTATGAGCTTAAATTATTGATTTATAATTCTAATTTATACAGCTGCATTAAATATTTTATAATTATATATATTAGAACTTTGATATCTTATTAATTTAAAAATTATTAATGGATCAAGTTTGAAAAGTAAATTATCAAATAATTATTAGTTTATGAAGAAATTGTTTCAAAATTTATTATAATATCGTATAAATTTTTCTTCTAACTTATTTTAGGTTCAAAATATCAAATAATTTTTATTTTCTATTTGTGTAATTGTTTTATAATAATAACTTATAATATTAATTAGAAATAAGAATACACTCTTAAATAAGAAACATAACTTTTTTAATGATTTTAAAAAACTACCATAAATAGATATTCAATAATTGTTTTGGATATTAAGTATATATTGTTATTAAAATATATTATTTAATACTTTATATTTTTCATATTCTTTTAGTATTATGATTGATAATATATTAGATTTCTGCATTAACTATATTTATATAATTTATATCATTAAATTTTTTATAAATAAAAATGATTAGAGACATCTTTTATAGTATAAATTAACAGTTTCGTTGTTCAGTTACGATGTTTTGGCCTCGGGTGATATATTAGCAATCATTTAAAAAACAATAGCTTAACTTTCATTCATACCATTTTTTAAAAAGAACATGTCGTCTTTCCTTTTGTTGTGTATACGTTTAGTCATATAGACATGCATTCTAAAGTTTCATAAGAACATATATATATTTACAATTTTAATTATATTACTTTGGCATATAACTTGTTTTTTATTGACATGTTATGAGCACATATGTATGGACACACATACATTTCTGTATTAATTACAATTAAAATTTGTATGAATTTGTGTAGGTGCAGAAATAGAAAAAGTATTCATATGACCACTGCGGTAGGTTGTGTACGTATGCGTACGCATGGCATGCATGTGATACTGACTATCTGGTTGTCCACTATTCAGGAGGTGGAGAATGTCTTTCGCGTTCTTCTAAAGATCCTTTCAGATGTTGTTGCCAAAATTAAAACTACAAAATTCTTCTTTATATCTCTCGTGATTATTTATAGTAAAATGCGTATTCTTTTTTTTTATATATAAATATATTCTTGTCGTTTAAACTAGACGTTCAGTTTAAAACCAAATGGAATTGAACCGATCAAACAAACAAAAATCGATTTTTGGTTTCCACTCATTTTAACCAAAAAAGGAATTATGTGTGGTAGATTATTAGTTTTTTCGTTTGAATCAGTTTTTTTTTTTTTTTTTTTTGCTTACGGAATTCATTTTAAGAGTATAAATGGAGAAAAATGTGGTAAGTAACCAAGAAAGACGGAAAATGTGTTTAATACCAAAAAAATAAAATAATAATAATCTACTGTATAAATGGAAAAACAGAAACCTAATACTATGTGTTTCTTCCCATTTTCTTTAGGGCCACACACACAAATGTTTCCCCTGTCTCTCTCTTTAATTTGCTCAGCACTACTCCTCTCTTACCACATTTTTCTATTTTCACTGTTGCATATTTTTCCTTTCTCCTGTTTTTCTCACCGCCGTGAATAGCACACAAATTCCGTCTTTCTTGGTTACTTGAGTTGTCAATAAAACTCAGTATTTCCATAAACATATATTATTATTTTGAAGATGAAGAATGGTGAGAATTAGTCAAGTTACAATTATGATTAAAATCTTTTATAAAATAATTATTTATTGGTTGATGACTTTAATCAGTTCATGAGATAAGAATTATTGACAAGTGACAACAACAACAAAAAGATACTTGATTCATTTCCCGAAATGTAGAAAGAAAACCTTAGGAGATTCTTTTTGTTTCGTTGTCTGTACTATTCTACCAAAGTAAATATCCGCGTCGTATGTGGAACTTTTTTTGTCCTATAGGAACAAGAGATGGCGGTAAAGCCTGGAAAATACGATAGCGACATAGTGTAGTGTTTTTTAAGAATTTTCCAACGGCTAACTTATAATACAGGAAAAGGAAATACCACGATCCAAAAAAATGAATCCAGGATGGAATAAGGATTCTAGGTGTGGTTGTTTTATGTTTCGGTTTCCCCCATTTTTGTTATTTTTGTAATTTTTTTGACAAAAACATAAAAACAATATAAAATTTAATAAATAAATAAAAATCATTAACAAAAAAATTATTTATCAAATTCTCAAAGACCATGATGAGAGCTGAGTATGAACTCTCTCTTTATGAATATGACGGTGTACTATAAAGGAGAAAAGAAAGGTTTATCTTGGCTAGTGTTTTTTCTAGGGGACATGGAGCGTATCTCCTCCAGTCTCTCTATCTGAGACAGAGCTGAACCTGAAGATTCATGGGCCGCAAGCAAAAAACATATATGGGCCTATCAATTTTATAAACAAAAAAAAAAATTTAAAAGAAAAATTAAGTTGTAGGATATACTTGAATCTTCCACCTGCTTCTTAATTTTAGAGTGTAAAACCAACTCACCTAAAAGATATTTATCAAAACAAAGGCTGAAATTTTACTTAACTTAAAAGGGGATGTAAGCACATACTTTGCTTGCTTGGGCTCAAGGCCGACACTGATCTGAACAAGACCGAGGCGAGCTTCGGAGAGGCGGAGATTTTCTCTTCTCCCTTTCTCTCTCCTTTTCTGGTGTATTATCTCTAGATTTGGTCTTAGTCTCTAGGTTTCGAATCTCGAATTTCCGATCTTCTTTCCTTTGGTCTTAAGCCTATTTTTATACTACTTTTTTTATGATAAGTCTCATCTATACAATGCCCAGCAGAAGCAAGTGGGATGATACAGCATGACTGGCTTAGTAAACGTACTATCTGCTCAGGAACATTTTGCTAAGAAACCGTTGACATACCTAGGTGAAGAAATCAGCGCTCGACTGCTCTCAAAATTAGTTGCAGTAAACGAAAACCTAACAAATACAATTAGAAAATAATACTTTTGGAAAATTTATCTTTACATTAAAACTATAAAACAACTAAAAGAATTTCTGTCGCTTAGTCATCATTTAAACTAGGTTGAAACAGGAAGTACTATGTGACTTTGTTTTGCCAAAAATATTTTTTTACACGCAATATGAAAATCAATTAATGGTAAAAATATAACTACTACTACATCTTAGATAGAAGGAGGAAATGACTAATTACAGTATTACAAAACTTTCCAACATTGAATAATGCAATAAATAAAATGTTGCATTTAACTTGAGATATTTATTGATTGATCACAATAATAGCATATGCAATAAATTATTTTTGAAAAAATCTACATACGTCAGTTTTTTTTTGTAACTTTGACTTTGATTTTGAGACTATCCATATTAAATGATAAAAGTAAATATGCAAATATACATCAATGACTTCTTTTTTGGTCAAAAATAACTTTTTACTCATTAAAATATGAACGTCATTAATAGTAAAAAATTCCTACCAAAAGTTATATAAATATATATATAGAGACCCTCTTTAAGATCTAGAAAAATAAAAATAAGAATTTTAATTTCTCAATAGTTTAACAAAACAAAACGAAATTCCTCATTTCTCAAATTCATACAAAAAGAAATCTATGGGTATTACAAAAACTCTTGTGACTTGTTTACTCATAGTAGTATTAACAGTTTCGTTGTCCAATTACGATGTTTTAGCCTCAGGTTTGTCAGCAATTATTACAATAGCTTAACATTTTTGTGTTTAAAGAGTGTATCGTCTTTCCCTTTTTGTGTATAGATATAGTCATTTAGACATGCATTCTAAACTCTGAAGTTTCGGAAGAATGGTATTACTTGGACATGTTATAAAAATGTTTTTTTATTGACATGTTATTAAAAAAAAAATAGAGACAAACATATATTTTGTATTAATTACAATCACATTTTTATGTAAATTTGTATAGGTGCAGAGACAGAAAAGTTTTCATTTGACAACTGCAGTACGGTGTGTTCAGATTATTATGGATGGCATGAATGTTTTACTGACTGTCAGATGGCTAAATTTGGAGGAGGTGGAGAATGTCGATCGCGTTCTCCTAAAGAGCCTGAAAAATGTTGTTGCCAACATTAATACAAAATTAATCACCTCTCTGCCGATTGTAATATTGCATTTATGTTTTCTAAACTATTGGAATTAATAAATCTTTTGTGATTACTAATAGTAAATGCAATAAATAAAAAATATTCTCTCTGTTTCAAAAACATGTTTTAAATTTTTTAGATATATTGAGAAAATATAGTACAATTATAAATGTATTATAATTAACCTTTTAATAAATTTTTACCAATAGTAATTTAATAAATTCAATTACAGTTTTTAAAAGATTACAATTTATCATTATTAATTAATAAAAAAACACTTTAAAGACATACCAATCAGAGCCTGAGTAAATTATTTAATAAGTAAAATTATAATTGGACTGTAATCGATGTTAACTTAACTTATTTTTTCATCTGGTTACCTTTTGTTTTATCTTTGATCTTAGATTCTTGATCTAAAATAAAACTGTATATGAATATGATAAAGATAAGAGATAAAATGCAATGATAATGTAAACTACGTAAAATCTAGAAATCAATAATATAAAATATTAAAAATATATATATAAATAATAATATATCATATTCAATCATTATTAATATATAGTGTATATACTATCCTACTAGGTGGTCAGTCTTCACCGTATGCAGGCTATTAAATATTTTATACATTATTTATATGATTAATATTATATATTAAATATGCTTTATTTGTATATGATTAATTATGTATTAATAATAATATTATATAAATATTTAGTAATTAAAAATAACAATAAATCAAATAAAAAATATTATAGATTTCAACACAAAGTAAAGATAAAAAACATTAACCCAGATTTTTAAAATACTTTATTGGATAAAAAGTGTAAATATAATAACTAAATAAACTGAAAATATTAAAATATATAATAATTTATTTAATTTTTATGGTTGGCATGCACACATGTGCAAATATAATTGTTTTTATAGACATAATTAATTGTAATATTTAAGTATTGATTAACTTTTTATACATATGTAAGTGTTACTTTTTTATACATATACAGTTTTAGCGTTTAACAACAATCACATAAACATTTCATATCATTTTGTGTTTTTGGAAAATTTATTATGTAAGCATTAAGTTTTTATACATATACAGTTTTAGTGTTTAACAACAATCACATAAACGTTTTATATCGTTTTGTGTCTTTTGAAAACTTTTTGTTTTTTTTCTAACGTTTAGAGTAACATATAATTGCAAATGCAAAAGTTATATATATTAAATAATAATTAAATTATTAAAAAATGTTTTAAATATTATCTATATTATATTTCTTTTTCTCTTTGCATAATATAATCTTGTCAATATATATAATTTAAGTATACATCTTTTATTGACATATTGCTAAGTAAACCAAAATGGATTTTACTATCACTATCCTAAGAGCGGGTAGATGGTTGGTACGCACGAATGCTCTTAGGACATTAAATTTTTCTTAATCAAATTGACTAATAGCTAAAATTAAAATTAGACTGTAATCGAGGTGAAGAAAATGTATGCACGTCAAGTTTGCATGCGACTTTGATTTTTGTAGAACTAAGATTTATATCTACACACATATTTGTGAAAAAATCAAAGTATTACTTTTATGTGTTAAAATAAAATAACAAAATATATATTTATAATGTATGATCGATTTTTTAATAAAAATATATATATTTATGCATGTAAGTATGAGTTATAAATAAGTGAATTGTAATTTATAAGTGTTTGTCAGTTTTTCTGATATTTTCTGCAAACATTATGATTCTACACATTACAGTTTTTGGTGTTTAACAACAATCACGAAAACCGTTTCTATCATGTTGTATTTAATCAAAAAAAATTTATTTTTCAGCATTTTTTGATATACGGTTTCTCAATCAAAGTTATAATAAAAACTTATTATAAAATTTGTGAATTCTTAATTTATAAAATTCTCCGGTAGCTCTCCGCTCACCTCTTCCTCAATTTTTTTATAATCTGCAATTGCTCGCTTCCAAAATTTCTTTGTAACCGCAACGTTTAAACCAGCTGAATCCTTAAGAGTTTTTCTGTTCCTAACTTTGATATATGTGTTAATCTTATATATAATAGGTCTTAACATATATAAAAATTGAATCATGAAATAATATTTTAAGATGTTGAAAACAATATATGCATGAAAGAATTAATATGTGTAAGATAATATTTTTAAACATTTCAAAATGAAAACATAAAATCGATCAAAATTATTTTTTTTTTGTCTTTGTTGACTCATATTATTTTTCTTAACCTTGAATAATATATTAAACATTAAGATCATCTCTAATGTTTTCTCTATTTTTTTCTCTAAAATATAGATGGATTTCTCTCCAACCTATTTCTATATTAATGGAAAAAGAAAGAATGTTATTTTTTCCTCCAATTAAAGAAGAAAAAATAACATCACTATTTTTCCTCTAATTTTGAGGATTTAAAATAAATGTGGGTTAAAGATGTTTTAAACCAAAGACATAGCCTGAGATTTTTACAGAAAATCAAAGTCGTAAAAGTTTAGTTTTACTTTTACATCTACTTCTTAACCGTATGTTCATTTATAACAAATAAAGTTTATAATAAATATTTGTTATAAAATTTGTGAAATCATATTTTATAAAATTCTCCGATAGCTCTATGCTCATCTCTTTGTAGTATTGAAGAATTAGTTAGATGAAGAAAATAATTTTCTTATGGTTGGTCTGCATGTATGTGTTCATTATAAAATCTGAACCACACATGTGTCTATTATAAAACAAATTTCTTAAGTTTTTTAAATGACTCCGTATAACAAAGTTTGAAAGTATTACGGAAAAAAACTGTAGAGGTTTTATTTTATTTTTATTTCTACTTCTTATTCATATTTTGGTATTTATAATTTATTTTTTCATCCGATACATTACTTTTTATTTCTGATCTTAAATTCTCGATCTACAATGAAACTGTATATGAGTATGATATAAATTTTTAACTTATTTAAAAAAGAGATAAGAGATAAAATAAAATAGTAGTAAGCTACGCAAATTCAGAAAACAATAATATAAAAATGTTAAAAAATTATATACAAATAATAATATATCATACTCACAACATTATTAATATATAGTGTATATAATATCTTATTAGATAATCTATTATTATTTTTTATTTAAAAATATAAAATATATATTGATTGTAAAACTTTTGTAATCATATTTTATGCAATCTATTATGAATATATGTAAATATAAATTGAAATCATAGTAATTATTATTTTTTGTTTATTTAAATTTATTACTTTTAATGTTATAATCTTGTGTATATTTATGTTATAATTTGATAATTTATTTAATTATAACTCAACCAATCAAAACATTTCATTTATTTTAGGAAATTTGTCATGTCACAATTCCATGTCACCATTAATTTACACTAACTTTTTCTAAGGTGATGACACATCAAATTTTTTCATTAAACATGCTTCTCAAATTATAGTTAAGATTGGATAATCTATTAATATTTTTTTATATAAAATATAATCTATATACTGGTAGGATTTCATATAATTTTAATATCATATCATATCAACTTTTTCAATCCACATAATATCATCTAAATTTTCATAAAAATCAAATCTTTTTAAAATTTCTAAAAATTTCAGTTTCAATACACACACACCCCCCCCCCCCCCCCCCCCCCCCCCCCCCCCCCCCCTAAAATTCACTTTAAAATGAAATCCATGATTTTAAAATCATGAACCAATAACATAGTATTTATATATGAATTTTAAAACCATAGAACTAATAACACATAATTTGAATATAGATTTTAAAATCATAGATCTAATAACAATAAATTTGGTTAATTTCCTAAATCTATTAAAATCATAAAACCAATAACCCCCACCATAATTGGATACAAAAATATGATAGAAACACAACAAAATTAGAAAAGCAACAACCAGAACCATATATTAATGTAAGTAATTCACTCTCTTTCAAAAAATAGTTCTTAACTCCAAAAATATTTAAACAACAAATATTTTCCAAAGGATAAAAGCATTTTAATAAACAAATCTGCATATAAAATCATAAATTACTCGCTTTTTAAGACCGTTTGAATGTTATCAATGGCCGTTGATCGAAAGTTTGTCTATTTTTAAAATATAGTATACCAATACAACAATAACACTCAAGTCTCTCCATAAGTTGACACATCAGATTTTTTAATCTTTCAGAAGTTGACACATCAGCTATTTTACAAACCAATCAAATTAAAACATTAATACAACTCATCTACTTATTTTAATTTTTATATTTAAACCCATTAAAAACCCAAATAATTTTTTTGTTAATAATTTATTTTATTTTAAAAAAAATCAAAGCCCAAATAATAAACAACATCAAATAAAAAAAAATCTTTGTTTTATTTTTTGCCAAACCCAAACTCAAATAATAATTAACACATAATAAATAATTTTTTTAGCTATTTGTTTTTTCGACAGAGACGTATATGATTTAAAAATTGTAGGATCATCATCATATATGTTTCCACAACAACAACGCAAAAAGCCTTATGTTATAAGAAGCTCACACATCAGCAAAATTTTGACCCAATAAAAACATAACAATAATACATATCATTCACACACTAATAAAATCAGTTTACTATTTTGCAGACCCATTAAAAAAGCCCAAAAGTTTACAAAAAAATGGAAGTCGAAAGCAAAAGAAGAGAAGCTCAGACCACCATAACTTGGAGATTCGCATTTTCAGTGGTTACTCTGAACAAATTTTCATGAGTTTAGCGGGAATAGAGAATTCTTTGGTTTCAGTAGAAAAATGTGATTTTCAGTTTTGCTAGAAAAACATAATTTCTTGGTTATGGCGGAAAAAATGAATTATCGGGTTTGGCGGAAAATGTTAATTTTGGTTTTGGAGAGAAAACAAAAAAAAAAAAAATTTGACACGAAAACAAAATATCTTAGTTTTGACGAGAAAATGCAAGGAAAATGCAACTTTTCAATTGACAAAAAATACGATTTCTTGATTTTGATAGGAAATGCAAATTTTCAGCTTTTGATGGATAATGTGATTTCTTAATTTTTTCGAAAAATGTTATTTTTTAGTTTTTGTGGGAAATTGTAATTTGAAGATTTTGGCGAAAAATGCAATTTCTCGATGGGAAAACAAAATTTCTCGATTTCGGAAGGAATAAGCAATTTTTCGGTTTTGATGGAAAAGACAAATTTTCAGTTTTTTGACATATAATGTGATTTTTTTGTTTTCGTGATAAAATGTGATTTCTTAGTTTTCGCGAAAAACACAATTTCTCAGGAGATAATGCAATTTTTGGTTTCCGCGAAAAATTGTAGTTTATTAGTTTTGGTAGGAATGCCTCATTTTTAGTTTGATGATTTATTTTTTTACAGAAATTGACGATTTCTCGGTTTTCATGGGAAAATAATTTTTTTGGTCTTGGTGAAAAAACTTGATTTCTCTGTTTTGATGGGAAAACAGAGGTTCTCGCAGGAAAATCTGATTGTTTTGATTTTTGCGAGAAAATGCAATTTCTTTGTTTTAGTGTGAAAATGAAATTCCAAGTTTGACGAGAAAATGAATATTTTTGGTTTTGGCAGGAATATGTGAAATGATTTTTTTTGTTTTATCGAAAAGTGCAATTTCTCAGTTTTTTTTTAAATGGCAATTTGCTTTATATAATTTCAAAGGAGGATCAAGTGGCAATTTAATAAAGATAACAAACTATATTTGCCATTAGCATAAATGTACTTAAAATGTAATGTTTTATTCTTATATATATATATTTATAGATAGTTAGCTAAAAAAATTTGATAGTAGATTATAATTTTGAAAAATAAACAATTTAAGGATATATGATGTTTATTCATATTTAAAACATATAAATTCATAACTTAAGCTAATAAAAAATAAATATAATACTGATTTATATTATAAAAAAAAATTTATAATATTAAAAATATATACAAAATCTAGAAATATATCCCGCAGCGTAGCGCGGGTATATACCTAGTATTAATAATGACTTGAGTACGTGTAAATAATCATAAAATATTGTTTTGCAATGATTTATAAATATATCAATCTGAATGACTGCACTTAAGAAATTTGAGGATCAAATAGAATCCGAAAACATTTTTATCAATTAGAAATCTGTGAAAAGCCACATAATAAAAAATAATATGTATGTATATAATAAAATTAAAAATATTTGATAAAATTAAAAACAATATTTGCTATGTGAAACTTAGAAATCACTTTTTTCTTTGTAACTTTTAAATACATATTACAATATTAGTGTAAGTAAACTACCAATATTCATCTAGCTCATTGGTAAATTAATTTACGCAACATACTTGATTTCATTTTAAATGTGAATAATAATAAATAGATTAAATTATAGGTTGGAAGTATAGATTATTTTGGACAGTTGTCCAAGTTATGGGGATAACTTGAATTTGAAGCTGAACGAGGAAACAAAAAGATGCATCAATTTGTGATGGGCTTGGATGAAGAGCGTTTCAGAGGAATACGTAAAGCAATTATTTCTTTTGATTCTTCTATATTGACATTGGAGAGATTTATTCTCCTATATTGACATCGGAGAAATTTATGCAAAGATCATTCGCGAAGACCGATGCCTGAACAACGCCAAAGATTGTGAATCCCAGCAAGGTGTTGTTGTGTTCATTGCTTAGAAGGAGCTCCCATCTGAAAAAGATCGCTATGATTCTGCAAAGCGTGATTGTGTTTCTTAATGATCTCATTGTGGTTGTAGTAAGTGGATTTTCCCAATTGGGGTGAAAAGAGATCTCAGAATAGGGATGGTGGTGGCAACATAGGAGGAAGCAGAGGTGGTCGTGGGAGGGGAGGCTCCAATTCAGACCCTAACAAAAATTCTGGAGCACGTGCAAACAGTGCTCACACTACCACCCTTTACTCATCTTTGTTTTCAGAGTTTACGCAAGAACAATGGAAGGCTCTTTCTCAGATGATTTCAGAGAAGGCTAACCCTTCTGACAAGCTTATTGGAAAAAATCCAGTTTTACGATTTTTTCGCCAAAACCGTAAACTGAGTTTTCCCACTAAAGCCATAAAATTGGATTTATTTGTAAAAACTGCAAAATTGAGTTTTTCCGCCAAGATCGTAAAACCAGATTTTTTCACCAAATCCGCAAAATTAAAGTTTTCTGCCAAAATTATATTTTCCGTCAAGTTATAAAATTTTGAAATCACATTTTTCATCAAAACTGTAAGATTTATTTTCACCAAACATGTATTTTTCGTCAAAACTATTTTCCATAGAAATCTATTTCAATAAAAACTGTTAATTTGTATTATCTTAAGAAAATCATTTTGATTATAGATTAAAAATGAATTGAAAGATATATCGTTTTAATCATTTAATATATTTTGCATCCAACTTTTTTTATAAATGCAGAAACTAATAATATTACATTCCAATGTTGTATTCAAATGCAAAATCTAGTTTTAAAAATAAACGACATCTAAATGATGTATCTGATAATTCCATCTTGATGTTGAATCTAGATGTAACATCTAGATCAATAAACGAACCTGGCCTTAGTAATCAAAATTAGTGTCGTTAGTGTTTACTCTACTCCCTCCGTTTTTTAATATAAGATGTTTTAAGATTCTTTTTTTGTTTGAAAATATATGATGTTTTTAGAAATTAATGCAAAATTTACTAATAAATGACTTGTTTTACCCTTAAAATTAATTGGTAACCAAACAAATAAATAATAATAAATAAGGTTACAATAGACATTTTACAAATTTTTTTAATCCATATGCCTAAATCTAAAACATCCTATATTTAAAAACGGAGGGAGTATGAAATACATTTATTATTAGATGAGAAACGAGAAGCGAAATACAAGAAAAAAAGATAAGACCAAATTTCTCATTAATTAAGATATACCATACACTATACCTAGATGATACAATCGTATAAGTATAACAAGCTCTCTTATTAGTACCAAGCATTACACCTAGATTATACAAGCGAAAAAGTAAAAGAGGTAAGTAAAATGTAGAATCACCAACTCCACTCTAAGACTAACACTTGTCGCGTGCTTGGACCCGCCTAATAAGAAACACGTATCGTTCGCCTTTTTGATGTTGTAATATCTAGGGTTAGTTACTCTTAACCGGAGGTTATAGACGGGCTGGAAATCACCTTTGTTTGCTACGATTTCCATATCGCACATGTAGGCGGCTGTTCCAAAGCTGCTGTCTAGAAAATATCTAGATCCCATCTGGGTTGTGGTGTGCTGACCGGAGATGTTTCGATTTATAGCTTCACCCCCCCCCCCCCACATTGCACCATCTATGCATATTCGGTTAGCTGGGTAAAAATCTATGTCGGCCAATACCCTACTGGCTCAAGTTTTCCTGGCAAATCCATTATAACTGTAAAATCAAATTTTCCCTCTGGAACCGTAAAATCAGGTTTTTCTGTCAAAACTATAAAATCGGATTTTCCCGCTAAAATCATAAAACCGATATTTTCTGTCAAAATAGTAAAATCAAGTTTTGTAGTAAAAACTATAAAACCGGATTTTTCCATCGAAATCGATAAATCGAGTTTTTTCATCATAACCGTAAAACCAAAATTTTCCACCAAAACTGTAAAGTCGAGTTTTTCCGCCAAAGCCTTTAAATTAGATTTTCCTATTAAAACCGTAAAATCGAATTTTCTGCCAAAACTGTAAAATTAGATTTTTTTTTTATCAAAACCGTAAATCAAATTTTCTTCCAAAACCATGAAACCAAGTTTTTTTTGCCAAAATCGTAAATTCAGGTTTTCTGTCAAAACTGCAAAATTGAGTTTTCCTACCAAATCCGTCATAACCGTAAAACCAACTTTTCTCACCAAAACCATATACCATCAAAAAAGGTTTTCCCGCCAAAATAAAAAAACTGGATTTTTCGTCATAACCATAAAACCGAATTTTCCCACCAAAATCGTATAATCAGATTTTTTTGTCAAAACCGTAAAATCAAGTTTTTTCACCAAAATCGTATAATCAGATTTTCTTGCCAAAATCGTAAAACTGAGTTTTACCACCACAACCGTAATATCAAAATTTCCCTTGAAAACCAAAAAATGGATTGTCAACATCGTAAAACTAGATTTTCTCTTTAAAACCATAAAATCGAGTTTTCTCAAAATTGTTAAATTGGATTTTCTCGTCAAACCGTAAAACCAAATTTTCCTGCCAAAATCGTGAAATCGGATTTTTCTGTCAAAACATTAAAACCAGATTTTTCCGCACAAGTCCATAATACCGAGTTTTTCTGTCAAAACCGTAAAACCAGATTTTCCCATCAAAACTGTAATTCTGAGATTTTATTTCAAAACTGTAAAACTGGATTTTCCGCCAAAACCATAAAACCGAGCTTTTCCACCAAAACCATAAAATCGGATTTTTCTGTCAAAACTGCAAAATCAAGTTTTCTGCCAAAGCCATAAAAGATTTTTTCACCAAATCTGCCAAATCGAGTTTTTCCATCAAAATCCTATTTTCCGTTTAAATTTTGAAACATTTTTTCACAAAAACCGGATGTTTCCGCTAAACTTGTATTTTTCATCAAAACTATTTTCCATAGAAATCTATTTCAACAAAAACTGTTGATTTATATTATCATAAGAAAATCATTTTGTTTATAGATTAAACAATAAATTAAAAAATATATCATTTTAGTCATTTAATATATTTTACATTCAGATTTTTTTATAAATACAGAAATGGACAATATTACGTTCAAAAATTGTAAATGCAAAACCTAATTTTAGAAATGAACAACATCTATATGATGTATATAAAAGTTACATCTAGATGTTGAATCTAAATGACGAACAGGACATTAGTAATCAAAATTAGTGTCATTAGTGTTTACTCAATTAAATATATTTATAATTAGATGAGAAACGAGAAGCGAAAGACCAGAGAAAAGACTGAATTTCCCATTAATTAAGATATACAATACATTATACCTAGATTATACAATCGTATAAGTATAACAAGCTCTCTTAATAGTACCAAACATTATACCTAGATTATACAAGCGAAGAAGTAAAAGAGGAAAGTAAAATGTAAAATCACCAACTCCACTCTAAGACTAACACCTCTCGCGTGCTCTGACCCGCCAAAGAAGAAACACGTATCGTTCGCCTTTTTGACGTTATAATATCTGGGGTTAGTTGCTTCTACGCCGAGCCCATATAGTGGTTGGAATTCACTTTTGTTTGCTGCGATTTGCAGATCGCACATGTAGGCGGCTGTTCCAAAGCCGTGGTCTGGAAAATAACCAGATCCCATCTGGGTTGTGGTATGCTGGCCGGAGATGTTTCGATTTATAGCTTCACCGCCCCATTGCACCAACTCTGCATATTCCGTTAGCCGAGTAAATATCTCTGTCGGCCAATACCCTACTGGCTCAAGGAGGGTGCCGTTGTTGAAGCTGACACCCAACCACCAAAGTCCGAGCTTGGGATCCTACATTTTTGTTTAATTTATATTTGTAAACATACATATAATAATAAATCCCAAAAAAAAACAATTTTTTTTTTTTTACTAACCTTCCATATTTGAATCGTTAGTACGGTTTGAGCGCCCTGGAAAGCTGACGTGGGGGAAATTGCACCTCCTATAACGACTTTTGGGCTGGTCTAAACAAAACCAGGGCAGTCCAGATTGTAACATCTAACGATCCTGTACGCATCTCTCTGCAATATAAACAAATAATTAATATCAATATATAAATTCAAGAAATTAAATTAAAAATAAAACTAAATAACGTACCGTCCAGAAAATAAAAAGTCTTGGCTGGTTGTCTAAATATATATGGGGATAAACCTAAAAAGCAAAATAGTCAAAAAATAAATAGTTAATTACTACTCACTTTTTATATATTATTTAGACTAAAATTTGGATAACAAAGAATTATAATACATATTTTGACAAGATACTTACTTGCCAGCCAGCCTCGATGCTGTTCAGATCGCCGGCTGTGTAAGATCCATAAGCGAGCCAAACCTGTCCTAGACTGAATTCGCCTGAATCGTTTTGTATCTTCGGGTGCCACACACTCATTTTGGCCTTCGTGCCATAAATCTTTGATGGGATACTCTTCATATATCCGATGGCATACTAAATCAAAAACAATAAAAAAGGTTATTTTTACTTGTCATTTAAATAATTGATATCTTATGTTAGTTTTGACGTTAAAACGAAATGGTAATATCCAAAAATAAAGTTTAAAATGATATTTGACCTCGTGTTCTTTGGTGAATCTGTTCGCAGCCTCTGAACTTGTTCCGTTGATCTGAGTCACCTTCCGTATCGGAACTGTTCCCGTCGGACACTTAGTTCCGTTGCGATGCCAGATTACTTCATCTTCATTTTTTGTCATACCTGGAAATTCTGTGGGTGTTTCCTGTATTTTATAAATAAACAAATATGATTTGGTTTTTTATTTTGATCCGTTTATCTTAACAAAACTATACGGGCCGCGGGAAAAAAAAAAAAAACTAACCGAGAACAAATAAATAATCGAATACCTGAAGCTTGTGATATTTTAGAAGAGGATGACTGAATGCCGGTTGACTTCTTCTGTCCACGCACTCTATGACATCTCCATCAGGACTCTGATTTAATAAACGTAAATTTATCAATCAGTTCAAATTGGTCCACGTAAAAATTTAACTACATAAGCAAAAACCAAAATAGGTGCAGGGGTAAAAAAATACTGGACCTGGATCGTCAAGGCTCCCAAGTTTGGGAGTTGAAGCAGAATCAGCATCAGGAAGATTTTGGGGAGAAGAAAACCCGTTGACTTGAAAGTTTTGTCTTTTCAATGAATAAATAAAAACTCATGAACAAGACATAACATTTTTTTCTTTTGACAGGTTTCATAACGCAAATTGAAACTTAAGAACCGAGAGAGACTGTATGTGTGTGTGTGTAATTAAAAGCTTTGTTTTTTCAATGAAAATTCATAGGTAAAAAAAGTACCGCAAAACACAATCAAATTCAACTTTTTGAATGTAGTTCAATTCACAACCCATAAAGAATATCAAACACAGAGTAAATGTCTACTTACCCGCCGTATGCTTTTTTAAATAAACTTTAATGATCATGACAGAAATCAAATTCCTTTTATTTTTATTTTTTTCAATTCATAACCCATGAAGAATCATCCCGGAAACAGAGTGCATGTATGTAATCAAAAGTTTTGCTTTTACAATGAAAACTCATAAAGAAGAACAGAGAGTGCATGTTGTAAAACGATTTGTTATGTTAACAAAAAAGAAACTCATGAACAAGAAAAAAATGTTAAATTCAATTTCTTTATGTTTCAATTCAAAACCCATAACGAACCCCAAAAAAGAGTGTGAGTGTGTTTGTGTAATCGAAAGTTTCGTATTTTCAATACAAAAAAAACTCATGAACAAGATAAGAATCAAATAAATTGTTTCATGATTGACGTGATACCTGGACAGTTAGCAACTGTTCTAATGATTTTCTCCTCTGGTCTCTCGTCATTAACATGCATCATCGCCACCATCTTCTGCATGGAGTTTGAGAAAAAGAAGCATCACTAATTAACTCCCAAAGTTTATATAAATCAAGAGACTATTTTCTAGTACTTTGTAAACCAAAGAAAATACCTTCATTTTGTTAGTAGAATTTTTCTTTTGAATAAGATTTTCTTAGTAGAGTTAGAGCTGAATATGAGAGAAGTTATACAGTCGATGATTTTATTCGAAGCCAGTCCTCTTATTTATATACCAAACATCAAACAAGAGTGTGGAGCTCACTTGCGAGACGTGCGTGTGGGATTTTAAAAGCTTCCCTTTTGTGTATTCTGTGTTCATCTGTGTTCTGTGGCAATTTTTTCTACTCTTTAAGCAAACGATGTGTGATGCTCGATCATTTATCCTTTCTATAGTTACTCTTTCATTAACTATAGTAAAATCATTAAAAATATTTGACTTCAAAAGCAACCTTAAAATATAGTTTAAAAAAAAACAGCCTTAATATTCATAAAATTTGCATTATAACTTGCTGAAACATAAACAGTATAGTAGAAATATTGATTTAATAATAAGTTTAGTTTCTGATATTATAAGGATTTAAATATTAACAAAGGTAAAATATGAAAAATATTAACAAAGGTACTCCCTCCATTTTTAATTACATGATGTTTTATAGTTTATTTTTTGTTCCAAAATATATGATGTTCTCACATTTCTGTGTAAAAATTAATTGTCTTTTTATTGTTTTGGCTATTTGAATTCTGAATTCTAATTTTTTTATTGGTTGAACTGTTCTGAAAATGATAAAAAAAATTATGTTTTGTTTTGAAAAAATAAAAAATTAAATGATTTTTTAATCTGTATGAACTTCTCTAAAATATCATCTAATAAAAAACGGAGAGAGTATTATATTATACGGGAAAATATTATGATCAAATTATTTAATTTATTTTAGAAACAATTATCGTAAATTTGCGGGCAATAAGAAATATAACATAGAAGTGTCAAAAATTAAAAGAAGAAGTAAATTTTTGTTGAGCTTAATTTAGTTTCGAAAGCGACACGCAAATTTGTAACTTTCTACGTTGTTGATGCATTTCCAGATCAATTAGCTTACTTATACCAAGTACTAGCAACTAATTATGTTAGATATATAAAATTTATATCTTCTTTCCTTTAATCGATCCTTTAAAGTGACTTGGAGTAGTACTAGTAGAGTTTTTACTTTTGTGAATGAACGACAAAATAAGAATGTTTTCCGAAAACTGGACCGTTGTTTTCGACTTTTCGTTACTCAAAAGTGCTATATATAAATAAATATTATTTTAAATTCTTTAGAAACATCCTTAAAATGGATACATGTGACTGCGAATCAAACTTCGACGACTAGATTTAGTGGACATACCTCTGTTTTCATGTTTTTTTCTTTCTCTCTGTGACCCTGTCTGTTTCCATACTAATGTAATTTTTGTTTTATAATGTTTATTAGAAGAACACTTTTACAAAGAAAAATCTACAACGCATCAATAATTGGTTAACTTTCTTGACATCAGACATATTTTAGGAACTGTGTTAGATCCTAATTATCTTCGTTATGAAAAATAAAGCATTGCTGTTAATGGAATAAGTTACGTACGTTAAAATGTAGGGTAATGATATGTATATGGATCCGTGTGGTATTAATTAAGGTTGAATTTTTGTTTGGAAATAATATATAAAATGATCCTATGTAATTTTTATAATACCTTTTTGGAAATAATATAAAAATATATTAATAACTTTTTTAATTTGAAAATCAAGAATCCGAGTGTTTTGTCTAATTGACATATATTGTTTAAAAAAAACATAATTGACATAATTTTAAGTATACATATATCTGTTTTCAACTTGTTTTTATTCTAATGGAATACCCACATGAGCGTTAATTAACCAATCGGATTCTTGGTAAAAAAAAATCATAAGATTCATAATTTTAATTAAAACTGTGAGCGAATTGTATCATTTATTAAATTAATCGAAAAAGTAACCACTTGCTTCTTTACTAACTTCTAGCTCTTTGGCACAAGAATATATAATGTTTTATCGTGACTTATAGTTTGCTCCTTGATAATTTCCATAATGCTCCTATGATACTCAACAAAAACAAAAATGAAAAGTTGAGATCACACATATTTCAGAACTTAATTTAGAATTTGAAATTGACGCGCAAACTATATTATTGAGAGAGAGAGTAGATGTTGCCGTTTATTTGCCATAGTTTCCTTTTTCCCGCTCTGCATATTAAGTAAGTATTTGTTTTTGTTTTATATAACACCAAAAAAACAAATATCTGTGCTCCTTTCCCTTCCACTTTTTCTTCTATGTTTGTTAGCTTAACTCTCTCGCTTTTAATTGAAAATCCTTTATTAATGGACCCATTACAGTGTGATATTGGTTGACATCAAAAGTTCGTCAAGAAATAGTAAGTAGAAACTTTTCTCATGTATGCCTATACAGTGCAATGGACCCATTACAGTGTGAAAAATCTCTTCCTAATTTACAAAACTTGTATTCTTTTATCACCGATGAAGTATGTTCTTCAATCAGGTTGTGTTTGTATATAATAAATGCAACAGAGAAATACTATATCTTAGAATGCCCCTCAACAATAATTTTTTTTGTTTATCTTTCCTCCTGGTCTGTTCTCTCTTTCCAGCTTCTCCTTATTAGTTTATCGGATGGTTTTCAACATACTTACCTGTGTATTCACATGAAATCAATGGAGTAAAAAAGAATGTTCAAATGACAATAGTTATAATAAACAGAATCATATAACAAGTTCAGACAAAAACAAGATTTCAAAATAAAGCAACACATCAAACAGATATTAAAACCAGATGCTTACCAACAAGGCCGGTCGTGGAATAGGTCCCGATTACATGCCTGTTTTTAGAACTATCTATTAATTTCATTGTAACATTAATAATTTTTATTCCATATCTTGAACGTGCCAGAGTTTCTCTGGATTTATTATTTTGAGGTTTTTAATCTTTTTTTGTTTATATTAATTTTGTTCTTATAAGCCAGCTTCCAACTCAGCAACATCATACTTTGTGTTTGTGATCTCATCACTTTTTAGGTTAAAGAAAAACAATTTTTTCAGAGGGATCAGAAGGTAAAAGGAGAGCTCTCAATTCCTAATTAGATCTTGATGGTGACAAACTGACCGATGTGGAACATTTCTCTCCTCCACACTAAACAAAATCCTTAACTAGCTCTTATTGTTTTACAAACCAATAATCCGAAATATTCAACAATGATCAGCCCAAACTTCTAAAATAAGATTTGCAAGAAAAAGACGTTGAAAATAAAAATGAACCGGCAAACACTAGAAAACATTAACTAAATCGTTTTCATTTTCTTCAGTTTTTAACAATCGCCGAATTATCATCATGATCATCATTTACTGCATAGGTAGTGTCCACTATGCGTTTATGTTTCTCTCCACGATATTTGTTTCATGGTGTTTGCTGGGTTTGGATTACCATTTACATGAGTCATTTAGCTTATTCAGTGAAAATCTGGAAAGTTTCCTACTATAAGTTACTTGTTTAGCTTACTAAAATATTGTGTTGTTTATCTTTTCTTGTTTTCTTTGAACTTTAACAAATTAGTTTTTTTTTTCTTTAGTCCCAAGTACTATTTTTTTTACTACACTTCCAAGTATTATATATAGATTTAAAACTTTTTCTGTCGAACATCCCCAAAATGGAAAGTTGGAATGAAACCTGCGAACGAAAGTTGGTATTTAGTGGACAACTACGTCTGTATTCATGCTTCTTTTTCTCTATCTCTCCAAATAATTGTCTTGCGTGTTTTTCTTGAAAAACTTTGTCTTGCATGTTTATTAGATATTTAGGACAATTTTACTACCAAAAATAAATAAATTAAATCATATAACTTGCATTCGATCAATAAAACAAAAATCATATAACTAGCCACGAAAATAGAGGACTGAAGGAGAATGGGAATGAGTGTGACTGATCAACAGAGTAGAGAGAGGACGTAAATGTAGGGTTCTATGAAGGGAAAAGGAAAAATGTGCAAAACTTTGTAAAAGTACGTAATCCTCCAGAAATAGAGAAAGGAGAGGGTATATCAAAAAATATATGCTTTCGCGTTCTCAAGGGCTTCAGGTGTGCCGCGTGCAAGTCTTTGCAACAATTAATGTGACTATATTTTTGTTTTATCTTTTTGTGTGTGGCAATATCGCATTTTCTATATAATATATAAATTTATAGTAAAATCTGAACATTTTCTAAATGAAACGTCCGTTTTTTTAAAAAAATAGTTTTTTCATGCTGGATTTGGTCCATTTGGAATATATCAAAACAAATAAACGATTTACATGTTGGATTCTAAAATAACTGGATAATTAACACTAAAAATATGATTCTAATACGGGGTGTAAATGTTAAAGATCAATTCACTATCATTCACCATTTTGGTCTGGAAACTATAACTATTATATTTTAAATGAACAACTAGAAACAACAAAAAATTTAAACTTAGCCTAGAATAAGTATGACTAATTGTGAAGGTCTGAAAGATGGGTTTAGGGTTTAGCTCCGTCGAGTATTTTAAGCTGAGTTATATCGTAGATTAATCATTAGTAAATAAATTTGATATTACATAGTATCATTTATAAGAAATTAATTGCATAGAAAATATGCCTTTCTTTGAGTTTGAACGTTGGACCCACACGAGAGAAGAAAAAACAACAATTAGATAACTGAATGAAAGAAGACTACATTAGGAAAATACACTCATTTCATTGATTGAATAAAGATTACAATTGTGGGTTTATATACAATTTTGTTTGATATATATATAGTTGAATTCTATTACAATGATTAATGATACTTTTCTCAAATTCATTTTACCTGCTCTTCGCCGGTGAAACGGTGTAGTTATTGGAGTTATAAGCATGTGCATAGATTTTGGAGTATATATGGTACATGGGTTTAAAGTAGCGATACCGATTGGTGCTGTTTGCTGAGTGGTGAAAGTATGATCACGTTACAGATATATTAATTGTCGTATATATAGTATGATCATTTTTTAGCATGAATATGTGTAGAAAACCTATGTGAAGAACGTGTAAAGATATTTAGGATCACTTGTTGTCAAATACTTAGTGCATTTGTTTATTTGATATTTTTTTCGGTTTTAACATATTCAACTAGGTGACACGCACTATTTTGAAAAAAATGATCGGATCTAAAAATAAAATCTGTTTGTAAAATTTATATAATATTAATATATATATAGTCTATATTGTAATAGATTAATAATATTTGTTAGTCTAATATCAATATCACTTGTATATGTTGTATGTTTTATTTACAAAAAATAATTAGTTGTGAAAGTTATATCATGTTAATATATGCATACCCACGCACCGTAGAATAATAGTTTGATTAAGGCCATATGATCTCTACGGTCAGGTGAATGAATCGCCGGGAGCTCGTATGAGAGTTTGGTCTGAGTGTCTGACTGCAATGAGACTTGTAAAAATTGGTTTAGCTGAAAATAAAATAAATTTATACTATTAAAAAAGATTTTGTTCGTGATTAGGGTTACGAAACCCAATCCACAACTGATAAACACTTAACCTCCTTTGTTTTATCGCTCGATTTGAAGAGAAAGGCTGCAGATTTTTGGTTTTATTCGAGCTCAAATAGCACACTAATCTAAAGCTATGTCAAGATCATATTTTGCAATCCAGGTTATTATGAGTAAGATTTTGTCATCAAGATTCTGTCGTCAGGTCGTGTAGGGTTTTCCTGCGTTCTGTTTGTAATCTATATAGATCTCTCGATAATTTTCATTCTCGAGTCCTGTGGATACTTTATAGAGAAGTTATTTGATTTTCTCTACCCATTTAAAGATGAGATTGTCTGGCTATTGGTTATCTCTCGCAGCGTATGTCATGGAAACTTCTAAAGGGTATATAATGATGCAGACCACAATTAGTGTTTATAAGTGCAAGTGCTTTCAAAAGAATGCAGAATCTTCGATTCCTTAACGTACACACAAGATGGTATGATAAAAATCGTATAGATATACCTGAGGACATGGAGTATCTGTTTGTCTTTCACTCTGATTGTGTTGAAGAAGACAAGAGAGCATCGGCGATATAGTTTTAGAATTCATGTCCCAATAATACAAGGTTTTAATAATATTATAGAATCTTTAAGCACCAAATTTTTTGAATAACAAAAAAATTTAGATGAAATTTTAAAATCTTTAAACTAATAACAATAGATTATATTAAGATTTTAAAAATCTATAAACCAATAATGATGGAATCTCAAATTTTTAATTTCTTTTTAAAATCCATCTCTCAAAAACCTCCTTAAATATTTCCAAAACCAACAGAAACACAAGTTGGTGTTCGATCATATCTCAAGGTCAAAAAAAAAAAATCTGACATTTGTAAATATGGTCAAAAATCTTGCATTTAGCTTGAGATATGTATTGATTGTTGCTTATAATAATAGCATATGCAATAAATAAGTTTTGGCCAAATTTAAAAATATCAGATTTGTTTTTCTAACTTTCAATTTGATTTGAGACTATCCATAATTCCATATTAAATGATAAAATTAAATATGCAAATATGAAAGTCAATGAATAGTATAAAATTTCTACCAAAAGTTATATAAATAGAACATCTCTTTAAGACCCAAAACATTTTTTTTAAATCATAATTTCTCAAAACTTTAACAAAAGAAAACAAAAATCTTCATTTCTCAGATCCATACAAAAAAAATCTATGGGTATTACAAAAACTCCAATGGCTTGTTTACTTATAGTAATATTAACAGTTTCAGTGTCCCATTACGATGTTTTGGCCTTAGGAGGTATGTTAGCAATCGTTTTAAAAGCAATAGCTTACTAATTATTTTGGGTATAGTCATTTGGACATGCATTCTTAAGTTTCGTAAGAATTATATTAGTTGAACCTGTTATATAACTGTTTTTTTATGGACATGTTATAAATATATATATGGATACATATTTTATTGATTACAATTAAATTTTATGTGAATTCGTGTAGGTGCAGAGACAAAAACGTTTACATTTAACTTTGACCACTGCGGTAGAGTGTGTTCGGATGACTACGGACGATATGAATGTTTTACTGACTGTTGGGTGGCGAGATACTCTGATGGAGATTGTCTTTCGCGTTCTCCTAATGATCCTAAAAGATGTTGTTGCCAAACAATATAAAAAATTGTACTTCTCTATTAATATCCGAGATTTTTTTTTTTAAGATTTTGAAAACTTTCTCTACCAACAAAAACATATTTTTAATTCAAAAATAATCTACTGTAGAAATTCTATAAATTAATAATATTTGATATATTAATAAATTCTATAAATTAGTAACTTCTCTAATTGCAACAATTTTGACCATATTTACAAACTTCAGATTTTTTGACCAAAATATTGTCAAACTTTTGCTATTATTACATTCTCTTATTATTTGCAAATATGGTCAAAAATCTTGCAGTTAACTTGAGATATGTATTGATTGATTATAATAATAGTATATGCATAATAGTATATTCTGGAATAAATTTGAAAGAAATACATCATACATATTAAATTTACAATTAGAAATAAATATACAACTTACCTAATTTATATATAATAATTGAACATTCAATAATTTCTAAAATATATTCTACATATATTTATATGGTAAATTAATAAAAAAACTGTATCATCTACCTAAACTTTTCTTCTAGTGTTTTTTTCTCCTCCTTCTACAACGTCTTCATCTTATTTCTCTTTTTTCTTCTTCTTATTTTTATGGGAAAGTTATTCAAATATCATACAAATTGGGTAATAAATTACCAAAAAAAACTAAGTTTTTAAGAAACCCTATATAAATATATGGTTTTATTAATTTTACAAATTAATTATTACCACAAAATAATAATATATAAATAAATAACTATGATAATTTACTAGATGTTATTAGCTAATTGTTTGTTTTTATTAATGTTGGAATAATGTTATAGTTTATCTATAATATAAAAGTGAAATGTTTAAAGATATCATTACCTTTTTGAATAAATATTATTTTTATTTAATTATTAACAAACAACATTTTTATTCAAAAAAAGATAAAAAATATTAAAGTCCTAATATTAATAATTTATAAAGTTTTAAGTTTATATTGTATTTATATTGATTGATTTAAAGCCAACAAACTAAAAAAATTTCGGTAATTTATTTAAAAGATTAACAAATTGAATTTTTTTCTAACCACTAAGTAAATCAAAAGAAACACAAACAAATCTTGCAGGAAATTTGTTATATAATAAATCAAACATTAATTCAAAAAAAATTAATATTAGTATTATCATGTTATGGTATTTCACCAAGAAAAAATAAGTAATAATGTCATATGCCATATTCGTCACCTAAGAATCATATATAAAGTAAGTAATAATATCATATGCCATATTTCCTTATATAGTATCTGAATAGTAATAATATATATTATAATAATTTTAAAAATTTGTCATTATAACTTTTTCTAATTGGTTTTTGATGAAAATAACATATATTTTTAATAATATATTTTGTAAATATTGTTATGAATTGTTAAAAGATATACATTAAAAATATTTATCTTGAAGTATTATATATGTTTTTATAATTATTTTCGTGCATGATCTTACATCAATATATAAATAAAATCAATATGACTTTCTTTTCTATGTTTTGATTGATTTTTGAGAAAATAAATTATTATTTAAAATTATTATGTTGAATATATAATAATATGGTTTAATGAACAATTAATAAAAATATTTTCTGACAAAAGAAATAGACATTAGTAAAGTATTATATATTTTATTATGAATTTAAAAAAAATAAAATATGATTTTTAATTTTTCTGTTGTATCTATAAGAATATTTATAATGAATAATTAATAAACATATTTTTTGAAAAAGTAGTAAACATTAAAAAAAATATTATATATTTTGTTATGAATGATAAAAGTAGAAAATATTAAAAATTATTATATATTTTATTATAAATTTATAATAAAATATTTGTGGATAATATTATAAAAGTATTATTTAATAAATTATTTTTGTGTATATTATAATTAGCATTGACAAATTTATTCTATTAAATTATTATTTATAATATTATTTCCTTTGAATTCATTAAAAATGAAATATAACTTATGTGTGGACCTAAAATATACAATGGCATATCATGTAATTAGTCTAGTAATTTAAGTCTTTTTAAAAAAATTAGCTGAGAATGAATGTGAAATTGACACATCAGCATAATAGCGCTACTGTAAATACCTATAAAAATGAGTTTACTTTCTAAAAATACTTTTTAATTAATATATAAGGGATTTGATGAGAAACAAGAAGCGAAAGACAAGAGAAAAGACTGAATTTCCCATTAATTAAGATATACAACACATTATACCTACATTATATAATCGTATAAGTATAATAAGCTCTCTTATCAGTATCAAACATTATACCTAGATTATACAAGCCAAGAAGTAAAAGAGGAAAGTAAAATGTAGAATCACCAACTTCACTCTAAGACTAACACCTCTCGCGTGTTCTGACCCGCCAAAAAAGAAACACGTATCGTTCACCTTTTTGACGTTGTAATATTTGGGGTTAGTTGCTCTAAACCTGAGGTCATAGACTGGCTGGAAATCACCTATGTTTGCTGCGATTTCTAGATCGCACATGTAGGTGGCTGTACAAAAGCCGATGTCGGGAAAATATCCAGATCCCATATGGGTTGTGGTGTGCTGGCCGGAGATGTTCCCATTTGTAATTTCACCGCACCACTGCACCTCCTCTGCGTATTCGATTAGTCGGGTGAATATCTCTGTCGGCCAATACCCGACTGCCTCAACAATTGTGCAATTGCTAAACCCGACACCCAACCACCAAAGTCTGAGCTTCGAGTCCTACATTTGTGTTTAATTATTTATATTAGAAAACATATAATTATAAAATAAAAATAAAAATAAATTTTTTTTTACTAACCTTTCATATTTGGATAGTTAATTCAGTCTGAGCACCTCAAAAAGTTACGTTGGAGAAATAGCATCCCCAATAAGAACTTTTTGGCTGGTCTGGATTAATCCTGAATAGTGAAATTGTAATATTTATGGATCTTGTATGCATCTCTCTGCAAGAAAAGCAAGTAACTAATATATATTAACATATATGAATATTAATCGTACTGTTCAGAAATTAAAAAACCTTGGCTGGTTGTCCATATATATATGAGGATACACCTACATAGCAAATTAGTCAAAGAATTATAATAGATCTTTTGTAATTACTAGCTGTTAAAAAAATTGATTATAACTTACTTGCCAGCCTGCCTCAATGCTGTTGAGATCACCTGCGTTGTAAGATCCTGAGACGAGCCAAAACTGGCCTAGACTGAATTCGCCAGCATCTTTTTGTGTCTTCAGTTGCCACACACTCATTCTCACCTTTGTTCCGTATATCTTTGGTGGTTGAGTCTCCATATGTCCTAATCGCATACTAAACCAAAAACCATAAATCAGAGTTATTTTTACTTTTGTTATTGACATAATTGATATTTTATTTTAAATTTGTCACTAAAATAATGAAATGGTAATATCAAAATTTATTTTTACCTCGTGTTCTTGGTTAAATTTGTTCGCAGCCACTAACTAGTAGTTCCGTTGATCTGAGTCACCCTTTATATCGGAACTGTTCTCATCAACACTTTATTCCGTTGCAATGCCAGATTTGCCAATGTACTTCGTCTTCATTTTTTGCCATGCCTGGAAATTCTATGAGTGTTTCCTGTATTTCATAAATAAATAAATATTATTAACTTTTCATTTTCATAGTAAAATAAGAGAAAATAGATTATTGCATTAAACTAGTTGAAGCGACGTTTTGCATTAACCCTAAAGTAAAAAAAACAGTTAAAAATGATTAGAATAGAAAAACTAATCGGATACCCTTTTATTTTGTGGGCAGACCCATTAACTAAACGAACTTAAATGGGTGAAGCTCAATACAAAGCCGTTTATCTTAACACACAACTAAAAGAACCGCGAAAATAATTTATTTTAGTTTTTCGCTTTTTTTTACTTATTTTCTTTTTATTTTTTTCTTTTGTTTTTTTTTATTTTTTATTTTGTTTTATTTATTTTTTACTCATTTTTTGCTTATTTTTTGCTTATTTTTATAAAGATGTGAATGATTAAATATTAATAATAATAAAAGTCAATATATGTAATAATGGTTGTGATATTATTATTAGAGTTAAAACAGAAGAATGTTCTGAAAATGCCTCTTGATTTATATGTATTATTCTTTCAAGAAAGTGAGAACATTACATACTCAACAAAAACAAAATAAAAGTTGAGTTAATTTATTTTGTGGTACGCATATTTCATTGCTTAACTTAGGATTTGAAACTGACACGCAAGTCGCAAACTGTATTATTGAGATTTGAGAGAGGTAGATGTTAGACGTTAATTAACTATTTGATGCATCGCCATAATTTCCATCTTGTCTCTCTCTTTGTATTAAGTAGTAATATTTGTTTTTATTTTCACATAACAACGCAAAAACACAAATATCTGCCGATATTTAATCATATGTGAAGCATATGTTGTAACTATTAATAAAATGTTTGTTGACTAAAAGTAACTATTAATAAATCAGTAGGCAGTATATAGTTTAAAATGACAAAGACACTTCTTTGAGTAACAATGGGATGATTTTCTCTGAGCAATGTATATTCCAAAATAGTGATGTATAGTTTAGTGATGTATAGTTTCTGTAAGTCTTAATTGCAGTAGCATAGCCTCTAGGGGGTTGTTTTAATATACCCCAATTTTAATAAGAAATTAGAAATATATAACATTTATTTTGAATTTTCTATGCACTAACAAAACTTACAATGTTAATCAAATTAAACTCGGTCCAATAAAATAAAAACTTTTTTCTCAGTCACATCTTTAGTTTAAACCAAATAATTTTTCTTGAAAAAAAAAAGTCTGATGTTAAAAAAAAGGTCTGCATATTCGACTAATCAACTCTAGATGGTGACAAACTAACCGATGTGGCACAATTCTCAATTTCTCTCTTCTCGACTAAACAATCCCTAATTAACTCTTAACAGCAAAATTTTCAACTTTTTCTATAAAATTATATTATTAATTAAGAAGCAAATTGGCTTATCGATGTGGTTAAAAGTTATGATGGCTAAATTTACTTTAATTAATCTTAATAAAATTAACAAATTAATATAATCTAATTTTTAATTGATTTTCTTTTTTTTTTTAAATCTAGATATTCAAATTCGAGTTTACATCATATAAATATTCAGTTTACTAAAAAGAGGTAACTAACATAAATAAAATAAAAATCCTAATTATTTTATTAAATTAATTTTAATTTAATCGGATAATATAAAAGATATTAAAAAATAAGATATAAATAATATATTTTGCTTTGTCACAAAAAACAATATACTCATGAAATTTGTATCTTTTCAAATATATTAAGTTTGGTTTCGATTATTATAAAATCTGAATTTTTTATCTATAAATAAACTAATGTTATATTTTTAAAAAATTTTAATCGAACCCCGCACAAAGTGAGAAAAAACAAAAGAATAAAGAAAACCAAACCAAATCTGAACAAGAACGAAAAATAAAACTTAGATTTTTGAGAACGAAAATTAAACTTAGATACTAACATTATATTCATACCAAGCCAACAACTTCTTTCACTTGATATTGTTTTGAAAAGCAATATTCCCAAATATTCGACATTCAACACAAACATCTAAAATAAAATTCACAAGAAAAAAAAATCTTTAAAATTAATAATTAATGGTTAAACACTACCATTAATTTAATAAATCGTTTTTTTTTCAAAACAAAAAGAAAAAGTTATTAAAAGAATAATCATAAAAGAAAATAAGAACCAGTCATCAAAAATGAAACTAAAAAATAAGTTTAAAATGGATTAGGTAAAATTAAGGAAAATAAATTATTTGTTAAAAAAATAATCCATTCAGAAGAGGGATCAGATAGTAAGAGTAGGAGAGCGCTCAATTGTCATAACAGGCTGAGCGAAACGCTCTTCTCGCATGTAATTAGCAAGTAATTAAACCACTCCTCATTTCCACTTTACCTTGCCTGAAAGATCATGTTTTTACACTAATCCCGCACAAAGTAAGAAAAAACAAAAAAAATAAAGAAAACCAAACCAAATCTGAACAAGAACGAAAAATAAAACTTAGATTTTTGAGAACGAAAATTAAACTTAGATACTAACATTATATTCATACCAAGCCAACAACTTCTTTCACTTGATATTGTTTTAAAAAGCAATATTCCCAAATATTCGACATTCAACACAAACATCTAAAATAAAATTCACAAGAAAAAAAACTTTAAAATTAATAATTAATGGTTAAACACTACCAATAATTTAATAAATCGTTTTTTTCTAAACAAAAAGAAAAAGTTATTAAAAGAATAATCATAAATGAAAATAAGAACCAGCCATCAAAAATGAAACTAAAAAATAAGTTTTGAAAATGGATTCGGTAAAATTAAGGAAAACAAATTATTTGTTAAAAAAGTAATCCATTCATAAGAGGGATCAGATAGTAAGAGAAGGAGAGCGCTCAATTGTCGTAACAGGCTGAGTGAAACGCTCTTCTCGTGTGTAATTAGCGAGTAATTAAACCACTCCTCATTTCCCCTTTACCTTGCCTGAAGGATCATGTTTTTATTCTAACCCCGCACAAAGTAAGAAAAAACAAAAAAATAAAGAAAACCAAACCAAATCTGAACAAGAACAAAAAATAAAACTTAGATTTTTTTAGAACGAAAATTAAACTTAGATACTAACATTATATTCATACCAAGCCAACAACTTCTTTCACTTGATATTGTTTTAAAAAGAAATATTCCCAAATATTCGACATTCAACACAAACATCCAAAATAAAATTCACAAGAAAAAAAAACTTTAAAATTGATAATTAATGGTTAAACACTACCAATAATTTAATAAATCGTTTTTTTCTAAACAAAAAGAAAATGTTATTAAAAGAATAATCATAAATGAAAATAAGAACCAGTCATCAAAAATGAAACTAAAAAATAAGTTTAAAATGGATTAGGTAAAATTAAGGAAAACAAATTATTTGTTAAAAAAATAATCCATTCAGAAGAGGGATCAGATAGTAAGAGTAGGAAAGCGCTCAATTGTCGTAACAGGCTGAGCGAAACGCTCTTCTCGCATGTAATTAGCAAGTAATTAAACCACTCCTCATTTCCACTTTACCTTGCCTGAAAGATCATGTTTTTACTCTAATCCCGCACAAAGTAAAAAAAAACAAAAAAAATAAAGAAAACCAAACCAAATCTGAACAAGAACGAAAAATAAAACTTAGATTTTTGAGAACGAAAATTAAACTTAGATACTAGCATTATATTCATACCAAGCCAACAACTTCTTTCACTTGATATTGTTTTAAAAAGCAATATTCCCAAATATTCGACATTCAACACAAACATCTAAAATAAAATTCACAAGAAAAAAAACTTTAAAATTAATAATTAATGGTTAAACACTACCAATAATTTAATAAATCATTTTTTTCTAAACAAAAAGAAAAAGTTATTAAAAGAATAATCATAAATGAAAATAAGAACCAGCCATCAAAAATGAAACTAAAAAATAAGTTTTTAAAATGGATTAGGTAAAATTAAGGAAAACAAATTATTTGTTAAAAAGTAATCCATTCAGAAGAGGGATCAGATAGTAAGAGAAGGAGAGCGCTCAATTGTCGTAACAGGCTGAGTGAAACGCTCTTCTCGTATGTAATTAGCGAGTAATTAAACCACTCCTCATTTCCCCTTTAGCTTGCCTGAAGGATCATGTTTTTATTCTAACCCTGCACAAAGTAAGAAAAAACAAAAAAATAAAGAAAACCAAACCAAATCTGAACAAGAAGAAAAAATAAAACTTAGATTTTTTTAGAACGAAAATTAAACTTAGATATTAACATTATATTCATACCAAGCCAACAACTTCTTTCACTTGATATTGTTTTAAAAAGAAATATTCCCAAATATTCGACATTCAACACAAACATCCAAAATAAAATTCACAAGAAAAAAAAACTTTAAAATTGATAATTAATGGTTAAACACTACCAATAATTTAATAAATCATTTTTTTTCTAAACAAAAAGAAAAAGTTATTAAAAGAATAATCATAAATGAAAATAAGAACCAGCCATCAAAAATGAAACTAAAAAATAAGTTTTTAAAATGGATTAGGTAAAATTAAGGAAAACAAATTATTTGTTAAAAAAGTAATCTATTCAGAAGAGTGATCGGATAGTAAGAGAAGGAGAGCGCTCAATTGTCGTAACAGACTGAGCGAAACGCTCTTCTTGCATATAATTAGCGAGTAATTAAACCACTCCTCATTTCCCCTTTACCTTGCCTGAAGGATCATGTTTTTACTCTAACC